GTGCCTGGAGAACTCTGGCTCCTGGGCGGTTCTCGTTGCTCTGTTTTTGATGTGTTTGTGGCTGGAGGGGAGCAAGCTGCTGAGAAAGTGAGTTTGTGTTTCTGAAGAAGCTGTGGGTGCCCCACGCCCGAGGGCTCAGTGGGCGCGTGGTGGTTGAAGCGAGGAGAAAGCGTCCCTCCAAGCGTGAAGCAGCCTGCATGACCCCCTGCAAGCTCAGTTTTCCGGACGCACGTAGGCCCGGTGGGTGGGAAAGGTTTCCCGTCGTCAGGAGTGCTGTTACCGTGCAGAAACCACCGTAACCATAACTAGCCGGGTTGTGGAGGTCTGCGGAAACGTCACCCGCGTCCCGACTGACACTTTGGGTGCTGGGATTATTTTTAACTGGACGTAAGGCTTTAAGGACAGAAGCAACTGCTTCACAAGTAACTGCAGCAAACCGAGCAGTGGCAGGGAGCTGGTAAAGACTGAAGGGCATACAGTTTGACTTTTATTAACGATACTACCCCGAAGCCGTGCTGGGGAATATCTTGTGTCACTTGTGCGGAGCCAGGTCAACGCATTTAAATGTAGATCTGCACGTTGTCTTATTTCTTCGTGGTCCAAGTACTAAACTGTTCTGCTCTGCAAGCAACAAAAATGAACACAGTTTTAAAATGGTTTCAAATTCCAGAGCTTGAGTAGTGTGTTAAAACTGAGGATATCTTCTTAAGATGTAGTCCCTTTGGTCCATTAGCTCATCTTAATGCATTTATGTGCTGTCTTAATGGAAGGCCGTCTTCGCGACGGTGCTCATGGGAACCCGTGCAATAACACGGTTATAGGGTGCGGGTGGCAGAAGTGAAGAGCTAGGTGCCAAGACCTCAGATCCTAAAAGATGTTGCCGTTTGGGCCTGCAAGTGGACATACTTTCCCTGGGGAGCATCTCTGCCTGCAACACTCAGGGGAGACGTGAGCTGTAGGTTTAGGCATGATGCGGTGCAGAGCCGTCACCGGTGATGAGGTTTCCCCAAAGCTTGTGTTGTGCCCGAACGTGAACACACCACACGGGCACGGTGAGCACGCTGCGCTGTTAAGGAGCACCCGGCAGCTTTATTCGGGGTTGTCTGGGGCAGGGAAGGGACCCCCACCGCTTTCTCTGGAGCTGCCTTTTGCTGCTTAGGGAGAGCTGTTGCTGCTGTATCACGTCCATAACTTCCAAGCTGGTGGGGAGGGTTGTTGTTTTCTCTGAAGTTTGTTGGTTGGATTTTGGCTTGGTGTTTTTTGCATTTGTTTTTTTTAACATTGTTCACTTGCTAGCTAAAGACAACCTGTTTGTCAGAGTAAATACAAACCAGAGTCTTTGCTGATAAAACCTGAGGGAGTGTTCTGCTGGGGGATGGCCTGGAGAATGTCCAGAAGGCTTAGAAAACATGATCTGTGAGGAAGGAGAGAAGTAACGGGATTCATTTGGTTTAGGGGTGGATGAGGGAAGACGCACATCTTCTCAGATACGTTAAAGGTGGCTGCCAAATGGGAGGAGGGAGGAAAGCGTTGTGCTCCAGAGCTACTGGGACCAGGGTAAGAGGTAATGTACTGGAGTGGCACCAAGGAGACTGCAGGGATTGGAGGCATGGGATTCCTCTGCTGCCACGTGCAGTCTCCGCAGCTTGGGGTTTCTGAGGCCAGGTTAGACAGACACGTGTTGGGACTGGTTGATCTTCCCCCGGCCGGAAGTCTGAGCCCTGAACACCTCCATCCTTTGCGAAGAAGAGTGGCACACCCGTGTCAGATCTAACTCTGTTCTTGCACCTAGCTGGAAGAGGGCATCGTCCTTCATGTTCCCATCACAGGTAGCGTTCTCTTCTCCCTGTAAGCCAGAGAGGGGAACAGAGATTCCCACGCCTCTCTGCCGGGGGCCGGGCTGCGCTGGGTACCCGCAGGAAAAGCAGGGACCACAGTAGTGTGTGTTCAGAGTTCTTGCCCAGTGATTTAAATAGATCCAAGTTCTGCCTGACCCTCTCAGTCAGTCAGGAGCAGGAAGGACGTTTCTTGAGTGGGGAGTGGGTCGGTTTCGAGAGCCCTGGAAACAGTAGTGTTTAAAAGCTGGTGGAAGTTACTGCAGCACTCGCTGTTGGGACAGTTGTGGACTCCTGTCCATGGGCAGTGACCTGATGCTTTGTGGCTTTCGAAGGTGAGCACACACCATGGGACAGGTGCGAGATTGCTTTTTCTCCTTTCTGAATCACATTGTGAGGCTGTCAGAGGCTGGTTTCGGGCCACATTCGTAGGTTCTCCTTGGTTAGAACGGTTTGGGTTTTCTCTTGTTTGGTTTCAGCCATGAAAATGGCTTGAAAACGTGACAGAACCCCGGAGCAACGGAAAACTTAGATGGTCAGGGATGTAAGGGCGAGAGGGATGGGGCTGTGCAGCGCATGTCCTGTCTGTGCGGGCCCGTGAGCCTGCTGCTGCAGGGCCAGGGCTGGCACAGAGCTAGACACAGCTCCATCGTGGCGCGGGGATTTAAAGCGTTTCTGTTGCAGCTGCCGGGCTGGAATTCAGTATGGCTTTTTAGAGTGGCCGATGAAGGCTGACCAGTGCCTTTGTCACCTGACATCTGCGATTTCAGTATCGGTGACGTGCGGTCCGCGGCTGCTGACCCAGACAAGGCTTCAGTGCCAGTCAGTCGCTCCTGAAGCTGCAATGCCCACGGAGACACCCCTGTGTTCCTAGCAGCCCTGCCAAATGTTACATTTTGACAGATAATGTATTTAAGTTTAAAACACCATCAATTTGGTGGCTGCACTGGTGGTTGTTCACTTAGAGCCCGGTAGCCGGTTAGCTGGTGCGCAGGCTGTCTGCCAGCACCCGGCCAGCTATGGCACGAGGCCGGGGGTCAGGACCTGCGTTAATATTCGGCAAAATCAGGGGGTCTGTGGCAGCTTTAGTTCTTATCTTGCATAGTACGAGCTTGTATGTGCGTGTGTGTTTGTCTGCTGCTGTGGTTCCAGTGCTAAAGCGGTTTGCTGTTGAATCCACACAGATATGGCTTGCAGGTCATGGAGAAGGTTCTCAATATGGCTGAAGGCATCGATGTTGGGGAGATGAGGACGTATGAGTTGGTCCCTAACAGGAAGCTGAAACGATGCCGCTCTCCGTCTGACAGTGAGTATATCCACCTGTGTGTCGAGGGAGATGCCTGCTTGTCGCTGTTCGCTGGGCATTAGTGGGAGCGCGGGGAGAGCAATGTGCCACGGGGCCGCTGCCAGGAGAGCCGGCACGGCAAACTGAGGGGAAGCGACCGTGATGTGCTCTGCTGGACTGCAGCCGCTTCCCCGCCTCTGCCATGTTGTGGGGCATACATAATTCATGCAGAGTTCTCTTTTTTGCTTAAGAAAATGTCATTTGTCATTGAAACTACCAGGTAATTGATTTTCCCTAGTGATAGCGTTAGGGAATTGAATCTATGTAATTAAATATCTCTGTGCCCTTCGTCACTGTGGTAAGGGGTGATGTTCCGACCCGAGAAGGAATTGTACATCTGCATGGAGATGTGGAGTTCAGCTTATGGATTTTGAGTGACAACCTGCCTGGAGCATTGCAGGGTGGTGGTGGGGTTTTTTTAGATTTTTATTTTACTTTTTTTTTTCCCCCCCTACTGGGTCTGGAAGAGTCCTGCAGATGTCAGCCCGGTCCCATGGTCTCAGGGATCGATGTTCCAGCTGTAGCTTTTCCAGTGGAGGAAATGCAGTGGGCAGAGAGGGCTGGCTCCATCCGCCAGCTCCGCTCCAGCAACTCCAGAGCCCCTTGCCCTCTCTCCAGAGGGAATTGCTCACGTGCGCTGGTGCAGGCTGTGGATGTGCGCAGGCAGCCCTGGCTTTGTGAGGCAGCGTCAGTCAGTAGTTTGGCTGTTTGAAGGTCAGACAGCACGGGTCTCCTCTAGGCTTGGAGATCATCCCCAGCTCTGCCAAAGTTTCTTCCCTTACTGTGACACCCAACAATCTTTCTGTGCTTCCATGAGCTGGCTGCAAAAAAAAATAGTACTTTTCTCCCGTATTTTGTCTGTCTCCCAAGCAGCAGCTCTAAGAGGAAGGGTTCCTGTTGCCTGCTATGCAGACAGCATAAAGAGCTGTTCTGCTGGTGAGAGCCTTTAGGTGCTGCTGCAGTGCAACCGTCAAAATACCAAACTGAGCAAGAAATGTAAACCTTGCCATAATTCATCAAAACTGAAGACCAAAGGATGTAACGCTTGTGTAAGGCCTTTGTCACCTGATTTAAATATGAAAGCCTGTTTGTCATTGAATGATTTGGGTTGGAAGGGACCCTATAGACCATCTGGTCCCAACCCCCCTGCCCTGAGCAGGGACATCTTCCACCAGACCAGGCTGTTCAAAGCCCTGTCCAACCTGGCCTTGAACACTGCCAGGGAGGGGGCAGCCACAGCTTCTTGGGCAACCTCTGCCACTGCCTCACCCCCCTGAGAGTATCGTAGGACCACAGAATGGCTTGGGTTGGAAGCAACCTTTAAAGGCCATCTTGTCCAGCCCCCCTGCAGTGAGCAGGGACATCTTCAGCTGGATGAGGTTGCTCAGAGCCCCGTCCAACCTGGCCTTGAATGTTTCCAGGCAGTAACCACCTCTCTGGACAGCCTGTGCCAGTGCCTTGCCAAGCAAGTGGTTCAGACCTAAAATCCATGTAACTAAATACATCAGGATTTTTGTGTGGTAGCTGTGGAGCTGGGAATAGCGCTGTGGTGACCTGCACATCAGTTAATGGTCGTATTTGATCACTTGTGAACGTCTTCAGGAGGAAACCTTTTGGTTTGTGGCTGAAAAGTGGGAATGCTGTGTTCAGAGCCTGCAGGCTGCTCCTGGTGACTGTTCTGTGAAATCATTATCTCCCTCTCGCAGCACGTATTGGTAATTTTGTCGCTGTCTTCCACCCCGTAGGTCCAGAGCTGGAAGAGATTCCCGAGCCGCCCAAAAAGGTGGTCCCCAAGTTCCGGGTGCGCCCACGTTTTGAACCCATACACTTTGTCACCAGTGCTGAGAAGGGTGACAAGAAGGAAAATTCTCTGGATAACCAAATGCAGGAGGTGAACCAGGAGGCAAATCCAAACAGCATAGTGCAGTTGGCTGAGAACTGTACAGATTCTTTTGCGAGTGCACGAGAGGTGGATCCCCAGCTCCCCGACTCGGCTGGGCTTGGCTTTGCAGGCCAGGCAGCAGCAGCAGCCAAGAAGGCTGTGGGCGGCATGGACTCTACCGCAGGCAGCATGTTGCAGGTCTCTGTCCCTCCCTCAGCTATCCAGTCGACATCGGAGACTTTCCCCCCGTCAGCTATAATGCTGAAGCAGAGTTTTATCGAGAAACTGTCAGCAGCTGTCTGGAAAAATCTTGCTAACCCAGATGCAAACACTGGGACTGATAAAATTAACTTTACGTATCTTTTGACACGTTCGATTCAGGCATGCAAGACAAATCCTGAATATATTTATGTTCCTCTGAAAGAAATCGCCCCTGCTGACCTCCCCAAGAGCAAGAAGCTCCTAACAGATGGCTTTGCTTGCGAAGTGCGATGTCAGAACGTCTACCTGGCCACCGGTTACGCTGGCAGCAAAAATGGATCCAGGGATCGAGCGGCGGAGCTGGCAGTCAGGCTGCTGAAGAAGCCGGTGGAAGTCAGAGTTGTTCAGCGGAAGTTCAAGCACACCTATCACGAAGACTTGGTGGTGTGCGAGGCAGGCGTGAGTCGCCCAGATTTCCCCCCTGCCCTCAAACCTCACGAGGAGTTTGTCGTTGCCAACAGGGACTGTGTCCCCATGCAGCCCGGCACCGAGTCCGTGAAAGGTTCCACTAACACCAACAAACACTGGACTAGTTTTGTCCTCACAGAGAATGCCAGCGACGCAATTGGAATACTTAACAATTCCGCCTCATATAACAAAATGTCTGTTGAATATAAATACGAATTAATGCCCAACCGCTTGTGGCGTTGCCAGGTGTATCTGCAAGATCACTGCCTAGCCGAGGGATTTGGCACTAAAAAGACCAGCAAGCACGCAGCGGCTGAGGAGGCGTTGAAGATTCTGCAGAAGATGCAGTCAAATATAGCAGCCATCAGAGTGACCCAGGTGCAGAAAGTGGGCTGCTCATCGCGGGGCTCCGGAAGGAAGAAGGACCTGAAGGACCTTGTGATCTACGAGAACTCCAGTAACCCAGTGTGTACGCTGAACGACACCGCCCAGTTCAACAAGATGACGGTGGAGTACGTCTTTGAGAGGATGACGGGCATGCGGTGGAAATGCAAGGTGCTGCTTGAAGATGAATTCATCGCAGAAGCAGTTGGAGTGAAGAAATCTGTCAAGCATGAGGCAGCAGAGGAGGCCGTGAAAATCCTCAAAAAGACTCAGCCAACTGTTGTTAATAACCTGAAGAAAGGCACCGTGGAAGACGTCATCTCCCGAAATGAGATTCGGGGTCGATCAGCAGAAGAGGCTTTCAAACAGAAGATCAAAGAAGACAACATTGGGAATCAAATTTTACGAAAGATGGGCTGGACGGGCGGTGGCCTAGGGAAAGACGGTGAAGGAATTCGAGAGCCGATTTCACAGAAGGAGCAGTTTAAAAGGGAAGGACTTGGGCTTGACGTCGAAAGGGTGAACAAAATCGCTAAAAGAGACATCGAAGAGATCATTCGAAACTATGCACGCTCAGAAAGTCACGTTGACTTGACTTTCTCTAGAGAACTGAACATGGACGAGCGGAAGCAGATACATCAGATTGCCCAAAAATACGGTCTGAAAAGTAAATCTCACGGGCAGGGGCACAACAGGTACCTGGTGGTGAGCAGGAAGCGGCGCAAGGAGGATCTGCTCGACCAGCTGAAGCAGGAAGGCCAGGTTGGGCACTACGAGCTGATCATGCCTCAGGCCAACTGAGCCTGGGGCTCCCGTGCCACCGGAGCATCCTGGGCGCTGCGGCCGTAGACCTGGAGAACTGATCAGGCCCTGCTCGGGTACGGTAGCACAGCCCAGAAGCAGTAGTGCTGTCCTGTGTGTGTCTTTGATATGACTTGTTCCTTCACGTTTTCATAGTTTTGTAATAGCAAAAACGCGTGTCCAACGAGAAGGAATTTGACATCATTGAAAATTATGGTTCCCTTATTCTTCTTGACAAAGGAAGAAAAAAAATGCCCTTTTTTTAAAAAAAAAAAAAGAACAAAAGAATAAAAAGCAAGTGAAACAGGAAATGCGGTCTGGGGGAATAAACTTGTATGTAAAGTTGGTATTAATGACGGTAAAAATAAAATTTTATTTCTGGAAAAAAAACGGGATTTGTCACACTTTGTATTAAAAAAAAAAAAAGGTGGGAAAACTGCATTTATTCTTGAGAACTACAGAGAGGGAGGGCTCGGTCTCTGCTGCCGGCGTGTGCAGAGAGGTGGCCGTACCCAGCTGAACAGCGCAGTTCCACGGAGGTGCCCGTGCCGACAATTACTGGATGCAGCTGTGGCATCAGCGCGGCGGACGAAGGTAATGCTGGTGCGTCTTCGCTGCAGAGCGCAGCTCGACGCGTGCAGATGCCAGGGTGGAGTGCGAAATACAGAAGCTGGAGGTAAACGCAGAGCCCACACGCAGAAATGCTGGCAGATCTGTTACGTAACTTATTTTTTTGCTTTGAACAGAAGCTCTTTAGTCCTGAGCAAAATCAGATCTGTGCTTGATCATTTCCCCGCTCCGTTACTGTACCTGTGCTTGTGATGCCCCGCTCCCCTTCCTGGTGCTGCTCTGAGGCGTGCTGTCCACGGGCTGTCTCTCCGGGAGGGGAGACGCTGCCGGGCAGGTCTCTCCTTGCCTTTCCTCCGGCAGGAGCATGGGGCTTCGCAAGCCTTGGCGAACACTGGCTTCGTGCCTGGAACCCATGGGGTGAGGAAGTGGCCTTGGAAGAGCCACGCGCGAGACGTGCCTGGGGCTGCTGGGGTTGCTTTCTGTCGCCAGCAGGACCCGCTGAGGATTCTTTAATGCAGAACCACACCTGATGAAATATTTTGTTGTCTGTTCGCGTGTTGGTTTGTGTCTCAGCTATTGCTTTTGTTTTTCTGCCACCTGTTCTTGCCTTGCCATCTTTTTACATCATCTTCTAGCATTTACCCCCACCACCCGTTGTGTTTTCTTTTTAAATACTCTCAGCTCTGAGGAGAGGGTGACCGACCCTGCAGCTGAGGCAGAATGTCCTGGAGCGGGGCAGCGCGAGGCATGTTCAGCCCCACAGGGCGCAGCGGCTGCCCTGCCCGGGAAGGCTTGCTCAGGAAGAGGGGTGCAAGCATCCCCCCTGCCTGGCTGCTGCTCCCTTGGCCTGCAGAAGCAAGCACATGCTGCGGCTGTCTCCGTGCAAAAATAATCTGGCAGTTCATTCTGAAAGCGTGTTGGGTTTTTGGTTTTGTTGTTTGGGGTTTCTGTGTGCGCTGTTCCCGCTCTGCTTCTGAATTCCGCTCCCAAGACAGCCGGGCGGCAGCAGATGGCCGTGTAGGAGTGGAAGAAGCCCGGTGCTTC